ACCTCCTGTTCACGAAAACCGCACAAATATCGACGAATTTGCGTTTGTACACAAAAAACGTCCCCAAGACAAACGACACACCCCGCGCGGCGGCAAACGCACGTGATACCTTGTTGTTGTTGTTGTTGGTGGTGGTGGTGGTGTTGCTGTTGCTGTTGAAGTTGCTGTTGTTGCTGTCGTTGTCGTTGTCGTTGTCGTTGTCGTTGTCTAGGTAGCTAGTTAGCTAGCTAGCTAACTAGCTAGGTAGGTAGGTAGGTAGGTAGGTAGGTAGGTAGGTAGGTAGGTAGTGGTGTTGTTGTTGTTGTTGCTGTTGCTGTTGTTGTTGGTGCTGGTGGTAGTAGTGCTGGTACTGGTGGCGGCTGTGCATGCTGAGATCAGATGAGTAGTTTGCAATTCATCTTGTTGAAGTGCACAGAACATTCCTTCCTGCAAGATTAGGACGATTAGGAACTGAGGGCTAAGAGCTCCAAGGTACATGAGATCATCTTTGGAGCTGCGCTTGGCTCCACATTTTGCACTATTTGCGCCGCATGGTTCCCCCTCGAAGATCAAACACTCTTGATCGCGTAAAGTTTCGGGTCCGCTCGGGAATTTCTAGCTAGTGCTTAGAATTTTCGGGTTTTCAAGCTGTCTGGCACTAGGGCTTTAGCGTCTTGTGGTTGAGTTGAGGGTGCTAGGGTTTTCTGGCCTAAGGGTTTCGAGGTGTAGTAAGGCTGAGCACCAATTCTGTGTGTTCCCAAAGCTCGCTTCCTCCGTAGCCGCTGCACTACAAGCCCACGGCAATTAAAAGATCGATCCACCTTTGTCTTCGAAAGGTTCCAAAGATGGGACGCCGGCAAGTGCGGGAATCCTACGTTCCAAGGAGGAGTCCACATCTAAGGTGCTACTCACCGCAAAGCAATAAAACCGTACTATAGCAGCCCGAACCTCTAAACTCTAACCTCTAGTCCCGAAGCTGTGTACCCTGAATCTGCGAATCCAAAAAGCCTCCAGGCGCTGCTGCAGGCTTTGTGCAGCAGCTGCCGAGCAGGATGGGCGGTCTGAAAACGGTCCCTGGAAGTTCACTTGTGGACTCTATCTCTGTATGTGGGGAAGAGGTGTGCTTCTGAAGTAGAGGCCCGAGTAGACGAGACCCAGTCAGAACTACCATTCCTTATGAAGTATGAAACAATCCTCGCTAAGACAAGAGCCGTCCGTGCAGGTATATGTTTTGAAAAACCTCTGTTCTGCAAACTTGCATGTACTTGTTGTCCTTTGGCTTAAGATGGTGAGTTCAAAGTTCCTGCTCCTCGGTTTTGAGGAGAGTCAGTGAAGGTTGGATGCAGGGATCTGAAGATGATGGCACAAATGTGCCTGCTTTGGGTTATCATTCTTTGATGGGGCTTGCGTGATTGTGTGTGTGTTTTTGGTGGGTGGGGAGGGGGGGGAGGGGGGCGCCGCCTGGGACTTGTCTTTCAGGGCGTGCTGTCAGTAAAGAGTTTTTTCGGGAAGCGCTGGTACGTGGATTATGGACAGGGCTGCTGGGTTGCTAGGACCGGAAGACAGGACTAGATCTTTTGACATAGTGAAAGTTCTGGCATCATGTAGATAGCGGTTTGTGGCTTGAAGGACTATGTAGTAGAAGAATTCCCACCATATTCCATACCGGCATTGAGGTTTTAGAAAATGAGGATGGGGGTGTCCTGCATCAACAGTCCTGGTGTAAGGATCTACCACGTTTGGGACTTGTTTAGGATCCTGGTTCTCTGAACTCCCATTTATGTGAAGGGTGTGTATTATCTGACGAAGGTCTCGACCAACAGCGAACCAATCCAAGCGAGCTTGAAAGAAGACCCGAAGTTGAACAAGATGCACCCACATATATTATTCTGTGAACCAACAACTATAGATGTAACATGACCTTGGCCACAGGCTGAGCCCCAAACCCTAATCCCCAAAAAACACCCATGTCTGAACCCCTGAAATGTCAGATCTTCAATCCTATACCTCAACAACCCTAAGCCCTCAACACCAGCTCTGGCCGTCCCAGTGGCCAGAATCGCCTCACACTCGGTGGTGTGGAACCACTCGCGGAACTCCTAGCTGTCGCTCCAGGCATCCCGGTATCAACGAACTGACCACCTTCTAGTCTAATGGCAACCTAGGAGAACATAAGGGCATGTAGAATCGCTATAATCAGAGGATCGTCTGACTTGGCATCCCAAGGGGTCACCGAGCCAACAGCTTCAGGCGACAGAGTTTGTGGTGCTTGTGTTCATGCAGCTTGCTTACCGAAAGCCCTGCAGTGACTACAGCTTCGAGGCTGGTGACCTGCAGGGTCCGTCTGGGATAAGCTTTTAGGGTTGAAGTCGGTTGGTTTAGGAGCACCTGGTTCCTCTAGGTGTCTGTGTGCTGCACTTTAAAGTCGAGGCAGTCCAGGGTTTACGCAGGCTCTAGGGTTTAGGGGTTATGCTGCTTCAAGTTCTGAAAACCTAAGCTTTACCCAAGATTCAGAACCCGAGAACCCACCGCCCTTCGTTTGACAAGGTTCATAGGGATGGGGGACGCTCACAGCCCAACAAGTTCCCAAACCCTATAAGTTGCAAAATGAAGACACCCCAAAGCCGCATGCGCCGGGCCATGAGACAAATCCGCCAGAACGGAAGCTGCCAAGGGTGCAGGATTCAGGGCTTAGGGCTCAGGATGTAGATTTTCCAATTGTATGGTCAAGCTGTCTCTCCGCATGCCAAACGTGCGGTCCGGAGTCTAGCTGGTCGCAGCCAGAGCCGCTGTGCTAAAGCAAAACCCCAAAAACCAGGCCTCAGTATCGTTGATCCCGAAACACTAAAGCAGAAACACAAACACAATCCTTTCCTCGTTTGACCTGAACTCAGAAGCTTCAAACACGAACTGTCTCCGGCGTCGACATGTCATCGAAAAGGCCGAAGATGGGGAACCCAGTTCGCAAGGTCTCGTAGAAAGAGACATTCCTCGGCCGGATTGCGGCTTGAGCCAGCGATTGACAAGATTTCATGGTCTGGGTTTGTCCGTGGTTTGGGATTTAGGGACCCCTCTCTGTAACCCTAAGGACTGTTGGGGTCGCTTGGGTTTAGGGTCGGGATCTTGTCTTGGCACCTTCTACTGCTTGACCTGTGAAAATGGCTTTGCCAGGCCCTCACACCCCTGCACCGAAGCCTAAAGCATCGCTTCAACCCCAGCGCCTATCATCTACAGAACCCACAGAAGCCACAACCGGAAATATGTTCTTGGATCCAGTTAGCTAGCAGCTACTTATGAGGTCTATAGGAATTCTTTCCACCATGACCATATGCTTACGGTTTATGGTTAGGTCGATACAAAACATGCCCAAAAGACAGCTCCGCTGGATTCCGCCGGGACATAAGAAACCAAACTTGCACGTAAATGCTGCCCTCAACATCTGATCAACCCTACACCCAGAATCTTAGAGCCCTAAGCACTAAACCACAAACCCTAAGAACGTAGACCATAAAACTTCAAATCCTAAATCGGAACAGAGTAAATCTTTAGCAACAGGAAGCAGCTCAGGCTCACCATCAGCAGGTTCACGTCACTTCCGAGGACGCGGGCCAGATTTCGAAACTTTGGGTAGTAGACTGGCGTCCTCGGTGTTTGTTGTTTAGACATACAGGACCTTTACGGCTCTACGATTTGAGGGGTTTGAGCTTTAGGGGTGTCTCGTTGAAGCTTTGAGGCTAGGCTTCAGGCTTCAAGGTTTTGGCAGGTTGTAGGGTTCAAGGTTCAGGCTTTTCTTGGTGGCACAGGCTTGTCAGGATTGGAGCTCAACCAAAGCACGAACCTGCTAACCGTCCTAGCAATGATTCCTGAAATCTGTCCATGCCGAAAGCTCCCTCCAAACCCGAATTGAAATAACTGTGTCTTGTGCCTTACACTTGTAGCACTAAGCCTTAATCCCCGACATCCACAATTCTATCAAATTCTATAAACCTTAACCCATGGCACCTTTACCCTGACCACAATGGTTTCGTCTCACCTGGCCCTTCTCCTCGAGAACGGCTCGATCCGAAGCCCCTCATCCTCATCTGTCACGGTACAAACCCTTCGTATGGCTTAGGGCTTAGGGTCCCTAAGCCCTAAACCCCAAGGTCCTAGACCCTAAGCGTGCAACGCCCCAACCTGATGCCTGCAACTGTGACCGACAGGGTTTTTGAAGATGGGACTGGGAATCTGGGAGCCCAACCCGAAAATTGAAAGAGCTTTGGGACCACACGGGTGTGCCATACACAGACACACACGGAGACCTTACATAGCATTTAAAAGAGTGTATAATGTAAAGTATACCATATATACCCCTTTGAAGGCCAGGGTGTAACGAATTCTCTGCCAGGGGCCACTCGTGGAGGTTGCAGAGACGCCCTGCTACCCCAATTCGATGCCCAAACCCTAGAATTACCCACACCCGAAATGGTCAACCCTCAACCAAACCTTTATGCAAGCCGGGGCTCATGTATGCAGATGTGCAAATGATGCCCAGAACGCAAACATCCGGCTCCTTTCCGAGGCAAAAACATTATACAGCATACCCTTTCCGGAACCCTTAAAGCACCCTAGTTTACACGTTATAAACACCCCTCGAGTAACCCCATCCCTGTAGTTGGGGAGTTGGAACAGGAGGTCAGGTTCTCGACTCTGGGTTTTTTTGCTTTGAAAATCATAAAGGGGAATGCTGGGGTTTAAAGTTCAGGGTTTGCAACTGACACAAAAAACAGGATTCCTCACATTGAGAATAGCATAGCACGCAGCGGTAATCCTGCTGATTACAGATGTAAATCCTGACCCACCGAAATTCTATCCGATGATCTCAAGACTAGGGCCCTAAACCCTAAACCCTAAACCCCTAAATCCGGGACCCTGAACCCAAAACCCTAAAAACAACTTGAGCCGCCTTTCTCTGGATCTCGGAGGCAACGGCCATCAAGGCCGACTTATCAGATATTTGCGGCGGACGTGAGTTGAATAGGTCCTTCCTTGGAGCAAGTTAGGATTAAGAGTGTTACAGAAGCCAGGTCTTGTTGATGGAGTAAAGCGTTTAGGAGTTGGAGGTAGTGCTTGTGATGTGCCTTCGGTTTGACAAGGGTGGGGTTTAGGGCTCAGTTTGGCTCGACGCTTCTCGGTTGAGAAAAGCAGCCAAACTGCGGCCCCGTCCAGACAAGATGCTAGACCATGTTGCTGAAGTTCAGAAGTTACCTGCAGTCGAAATCGCGAGAGCCTTGATTCCTGTCAGAGTCTCAGTAGTCTGCCGCGATGTTCGGGACATGCGCAGATTCCGTCTACGCTGAACAGGTGGCTGAAAACTACCTGGTCGGAAACAGCAACCCACTTGCGGAATTTGCGATGTCCTTCGACGTTCATGTACTAAATTATGACCCTCGGTTATCTTTGTTTGCCATGTGGTCATGGCTTACCTCTCTTCGTGAGCGATAGGAGCCTCGGAGATAAAGTGATTTCTGCTCCATTGACTTGGTTACTATAAGTCTGCGGCTGTACAGTACCAACACCACGGGTGCCCGCCCAGCAAGATTGTTCCCGTTGTAGAAACCCAGGAATTCCGTACCCGACCACTGTCAGCAGAGAATGCTGCAATTGCGGAATCTCCCAAGGATTGGGTAGATCCTGTCTCAACCTACGGCAACCTACTGATACTGTCGTCAGACTCTGCAAAGATGATGCTGCAATGGGTGTCAAGGCCAACCCGAAACCTTTCACGAAGACCACATGCCGACAACGACGGCAGCTCACTACCCCCGGAGCCTTGTAGGCGAAAAAAATGACTAACCCCCCAAGCCTGGACTGTAGACCCTTGGCCCCAAATCCTACACCCTAGGCCCTAAGCTCCAATGCCTAAACCCCTCCCTTCGACAAGGTCTTGTGAAGGGCGACAGCTCTAGCAAAGAGTAACATGGGTGACAGAACAGTTAAAATACTGTATCGTGGTATGCTAGTTTAATGTAGTCTTATAGAGGTATAAGAACCGCATATGCCTAATAATTCTAATCCTCTTCTTATCATGACCCTGAAACCGATGTCAAACCTTGAACCGAACTCGATTCATACACAGCTCTAAACACCACGCGGAAAGCCCAGAACCCGAGAGTCTTCTTCATTCCTTCTTCTCCTCGTCGGTAGCTTCTTGACAGACACCAAGCAGTATTCAGCCGAGGTAACGACGAAGAGAAGCCGAGCAGCACGTCTGCCCAAGTAAGACCGGGAAGATGTTGCAGGGCCATGGCCTGCTGCCAACCGTTTTTAGGGGTTGCATCTGTCAGTGAAGGTGTTCTTCAGGATTCGCAGCTCGATGGCAGCTGGCAGAAGAAAACGAAAGAACCAAACCCCAAACCCCCTAACCTAACAACAACACAACACCGTACATTCCAAACCACCAAACATACTTAAACCCTAAACGATTAAAAAAACAAAAACAGAAACCTTACCCCCCCCCCCACCCCCCCAGCAAGACCTAAACCCAAACCCGAAACCCCAAACTCACCGGACTCTCTCAAAACTCAAAACAAAGAAACGACAGCGACAGCCCGCATTGAATTTAAACCTGGAGGCCTTGACCCTAGGGCTCAAACCCCACAGTTTTGGGTTTCTGGGGTGATTAGCTTAGGGTTTTGCTGTTACAACTTCCCACCTCACTGGTGCAGGCAAGGTCTTTGACAGGGACCCGCGTGGTAAACTCCTCCGGTACATGGCCTCAGGGTTCAAGGCTTGGGTTTCAGAGTTTTGAGGTTTATGGTGTAGGATTTGTTGTTCAAGGTTGAGGGTTGGGGTCTGGCTCGTGGTTTGGGGTTGATGGTCTCGGGTTTGGGTGTAGGGTCTGTCTGGAGTTAATCTTTGGGGTTTAGGGCTTCGGGGGTAGTTGGGTCTGGGGTTCAGGGTGCGTAGCGATTGTGCTTCCGAGTTATACCACTAGGGAATGCATAATAAGTGGGCAAGATCATCGTGAACATAGGCGCTGCGATACGAATGGTAATAGCAAGGAGCAGAGGAATCACGATACAGAAGATAAGGGCGTGCATGTGCGACAAAGCCAACACATGTAAGATATTATCAGCAGCAGCAGCAGCAGCAGCAGCCGCAGCAGCAGCAATAATGATGGCTACCTCGAGAAACTCATCGCCGTAACCAGGATCACCAGCACCCCGTACACCATCGTCAAGCCAGCGCAGCGCAGGTACTGAAGCACCCAAAACGGGCCGAAACAACGGGACAGCTATCATTCATGCTAGTGCCAAGCATATCACTAACGTAACCTCTAAACCACGACCCTGTAGTATAGTAGTACAACGAGGAACCACTACTGCAATGTGATGTGTATTCAACTGTGCACGCCGACGTTGCAGCCTCACCCAGCGCTAAACCCAAAATCTCGAGACCCCAACAAGCCATAATTCAGCCCTGAGCCCCTAACCACTGACCCCCCGAATCCTCAGAGACATCCTGAACATTAAGCCCCTGAACCCCTATATCCTCTACAACCCCAAGCGCCTGAACCGTTTTTCCCTACGCCCGTGCATCCTGGACCCGAAACCCAAACCGCCTAAACCCTCTATCCCCCAAGCAAGGAGCCCCTAAGTATATATATAGATCCTCCCAAGCTCGCCTGGCGACCAGGATTCTTTCATGAGCGCATTCAATTGCTCGAAATCTGCCTTGGCTGCTCCAGGCTTGGGATTCAATCCAGGCAACCTCAGGGTTTAGGTTAGGGTTTAGGGTTTTGGGTTTAGGGGAAGTTGAATAAATTGAACAGGGCCTTGTTTTTGGTACTTTATCGATTAGATTGTCTCGCGGGCTCGGGGGTTTGGGGCCATCAGGCCTGATAGCTGATAAGGTTTGAAGAGGTTCGGGGTCGAAGTCCGAAGAACTAAGGGTTGTTTTTTCTGTGAGAACTAATGGTCTAGGCTTCAGGATTGGGAGGCTTTCCTCCGCATTCTGCGAAGGAGTTTACTAGGGTTGTTTACCGGGTTATTCGCTTTCAACCCCAGAGCCCCAACACCCAATCGTACCGCGGAACAAGCCATAGAACCTTGATGCAAATCCGTAACTCGTTTCGATTCGTAGAAACTCCATGACATCTACTGAATCTACACTGCATTGGCGGGGGTCGCCTTCTTGCTAGTACTAAGAATGATGGCAGTAAAACTATAAGTTCTTATGTGGCCATGTCAGCCAGTGCTGTGGCTGGTGCTGCTCCTGCTTACAGGTCTATTTTGGGGTTGATGCACATGACCCTTTGAAACAGTAGGTTCCGGTACGTTAAGCCGCTTCTTGACCGTCTCGGCACAGCCAGGCCCTTGGAACAGGAACGCGTGCTATGTACTGCCACTTGTCTCTGCGAATGCACACACGACACACACACACACACGCATACACGCGCAGGATGATGTAGTCTGAGTTTGGTTTATTCTTCGCATACACGCGCAGGATGATGTAGTCTGAGTTTGGTTTATTCTTCACTTGCACAGAAAATATGTCGAGAGACTGCGACGGAGAGCCAAGATCAGGAGATATCTGACTGGGATACTGGGGTGACCGCAGAACAAGACAAAACTAGAACTAGGAGCCCACAAGGCAAACAGACAGGACAACCACACGACAACCCTACTGTGCCTGGATGAAAGCCGCTGTAAACGGGGATTCCAGTGTGATATTGCTGGGCCCGCATAAGAAAACTTGCCAGGCTTCGTCGACATCGCTGTCGAGCTGATCTGCGTGCGTTGACGCAAGGTAAAGCAGAAGCCATAGGACGACACCTGAGAGTTGCACCAAGTTCCACATGGGAAGCCCGAGGTCTCTCATGTGGATTCCAAGGTCTTGTTTCCTCTTGCATGCTGAATCTCGTTTCGGGCAAGGACTTTTACAGATATCACCAACTAAGTATCGGCCTAGGAGGGTTTAGCGGCACGGGGTGTTACGTAAGTCAACAAAAAACTCAAACTCAACACGTAAAGCACTGAAGCCAGACTGAAGTTTCGAAGCGGTCACCCGCAACCACTCACTCTGTCCCCACAAAGACATGCAGCCGAGAGTACGCAGGCGACCGCTGGCCATCCATGAGATCAAAACGGATTGGGATCGAGGGCCGAAGGATTTCAACAGCAGTTAACTCCATGTAAGATGGTGTTAGTGTTAGTACCCTTCTTATAAGACCCATTATAGCTCCCTAAACCCTAAACCAATAGTGCGCGATGTCGGGCCAAGGGTTTCCGGTGCCAGGCCCGGCTTCAAGACTTATAGGGTTTAGGGTTTGTAAATACTACTAGAGTACATGGACCCTCCGAGGTTTGTTTCCTCCCGTTTCTGCCTATGATCTAGGATTACGGTTTGTGCTTGGGGTTTAGGGTATACGGTGTTTTTGCGATACCTCTATGTCCGAACACCTGCCCGAAGCTATCAAAGTTACTCTGAACTCTGGTGTCCATTATTCTCTCAAAGGTTACGACTACTGGCGATGCCCCAAAAAGGCTACAGGCTGTCGACTGCGAGATAGTTCCGGCAAGACATTTGGCGGAGTGGGGGGGGGGGGGGGGGCTTTACAGTTGGCTCCATGTGTCCATCTCAATGCTGCTTGCCATCGTAAGGATTTAACTGAGGACCCCTGTAGACTCCGAGGTTTACACCTAACCACCCCTAGACCTTTGCTCTAGCCTTCAAGCTCATCGCAAGCTTCGGGGCTTGACAGCCCCTACCTTGTCATCCATCCAACAGTTCTGACGGACACACCGACATGCGAAGGCCCTAAAACCTGAAATGCCCTCAAGCCCTCAAGCAACACCCAAAAACATGCGTGCAACGACAAAACAATAGGTCCAATCCGCAGATGCGCGGCCACCCTGAACCCTCAACCCCACACCCTAAGGGCTTCAACAAATGACCTGGAGTTGGCCCGGACTGCTCATTTCGGTACACCGTCTGGCGCTTGGTAGGAGGGATCAATGTAGCTATTACCCCAGGGGGTCCAAAGGATCCAACAGTAAGGTAATTGAGTTTAGAATAGTAGTCATGCAGGTTCATGTTCGGGATATATGCCAGTGTATGCATTCCTATGGCCCGCTTGTGATGTACGCTTTCTCCTTGAGCTGACCCTGACCTTGGAAGTAGTGGGTCATCGACAACATGCCCTCGTATCAGTATGCTCACTCCGACAAGAAAAGGGTTTTAAAGATATGACCTGCACAATCGATGCGATTGAATGTAATGCCGGACAAAGTTAGGGAAGCAAAGCACAGAAATTAACAGGGTCATCTTGCATCTGGGGATTTTATTGCAAATTGGATTTCAGCTGCCAGCGAGCACGCGACGCGTCCTCCATAAATAAATCCTCAACCCTGCGTCCTAAATGCCCTCAACTTCTGACATGTTCGACCCGACGCCTGGTCCAACTCCTCCGCGAGCTCTGCACATCTTAGCGGATGTGAAGGATGGGAGCCCTTTCTGGATGAAATCAAGCTTAACAGTACGGGCATCGTTCTAAGGGTCGAAGGAAGGTGTATGGGCACCCTTACAAGGGTTGAATTTGGGCTTGCGGGCATTGTTCATAATATGGATAGAACCAGGGTTTATAGGGTTCTAGAAGGCCCTCTCTCCCATAGCTACTCTCGTCTGCATGGGGTTGGAAACAGTAACTCTTTCACGGCCCTTGTGGTCCTGAAGTGACTAATTAGTTCTTCCGCTTGTTTCCTGGCGTTCAGCTTGTAAATGGTAAAACCCAATCTCAGGTCAGATGGGTACTACTACACAACCGAGTCTTCAGCCATTCAGAGATTAGCTGAAGAATCGTTCGCGGTCAACTAACTACCCATTATTGCAAATAGTAGGTCTGCATGACATCTTGCGGGGATGATAACTGGTCTTACCGAACTCCGAAGCAAAGAAACACAGATAGAAGTCAATCAAACCATAAAGAAAGAGAGACATCTGTACATACATATATATATATATACATGTATGCATGCATATATACATTTATGCATGCATATGTAAATATTTGCATGCGTTTGTGCACGAAGGTTCAGTGGCATGCATTCTCTTCTGGAGTCCATGTCTGTCTGTATCTCTCCATGTCTAAAATCTGTCTGGATGACATGGAACCGCTAACCCCAAACTCTCCCCCAAACCTCAAAACCTACCCTGTCCTGACAAGATGTCTTCCTGTTCGAAACAGCCCTCCGAAGAAGGCTTCTTCATCATGCAATGAAATGACAGAAATTAAGGATCAAGACAAAGTACCCTCCAATCTACAGTACACTACACTACGGTCTCAATGCTTGGCATTCATTCCCTTCAAGGACCTTTAGCAAATCGTCTTATCAAAAACCTTGAACATCCTGCATACAACGCGCAGACCCCATTTACGAATGGCAACAAGGTATTCGGTGCAGGCCCAGGGGCTGCTCCGCTCTGTGGCGGAGGTTGCTTACCACGGCCTCCAGAGGCAGCGGAACGGCCTGGGACTCAGCCGCATATTTCCGTCTTTGTGGGTTCATGAGCTCCATTTTTAGGTTAAGGGTCTGATGTTGATGAAGTCCTTCTACACTTAATTCTGGGTCTATCTTTTACTTGGGAACTGGTGTGAACATAGATACAAAAACCAGCGATAGGGCTGAGTTCTATCCGAATCTTGCATGCGCAGACCGTGCGTTTTGATTTGCTGCCCGGGCTGTGGTGCTCAAGTTTGTGCTTGGTTTAGGGTTTCTTCAGAGATGCAGGGTATGCCTCTCGCAACTAGAAGCTCGTAGTAGACGACGCGATAAACCTGCATACGCATGCATGTGCATATATACATATAATGTATACATGTATGTATGCATATGTGTATATATAAATATACACATATACACACACACACACACATATATATATATATATATATATACATGTACATCTACACATACACATACATATGCATGTACATGCACATATACATGTACAGCTACATGTATGTGTATGTATATACACATGTGTCAGCTCACTGGCGTGGTGCATGAATACACACATGTATATATCCATATCTATATATATATATATAAGTACACCTGCAGTACCTGCTTGCCAAAGCATGCTTAGGTCTATATACATGGACATGAATGCAGATAGAAACAGATAGACCGATAGATAGAAAGATCGATCGATCCATCGATGAAGAAGTACATGCCTGACAATTACACAAACTAACAGCCAAATAAATCAGCCAACCCATGGAAAAAAAAAACGTGCATGTAAAAAATGTAGAATTCCGCATATATATATATATATATATATATGCATATGTATATATATATATATACATATGCATACATGTATCGAGGTATATGGGTATGCATATGCATACAGGGGCACGAAAAACGTACAGATATGGTCTAGATATGCAGACATACGGGTACATAAGATCTAAAGGTATAGTTACCAAGCATGGAATGTGTAGGCATGTACATTGGCAGACATACAGATCTGTTGGTGCCATATACCACCGTGTACCTTGCTGACAAAGTCTAGCGGAATCCCCAAGCCCTTAAACCCCAATGCATTCAATCGTTAAAGCCCTGATTCTTGGAAAACTTAAGCCCTAAACCCTGAACGAGACCCGAGTGCACGACTCCTTCGGAGGTCGTCTGCTGCAACTTCGCAACGCTTTGCATGAGGCCCCTGAAGTTCTACAAAGGGTCCGTTAATAAAGGGGTCTACGAATGGTCGCTTTCGGGTTCCTTAAGGCCTCGATAAAGGGTTCTATAACGGTTCCCTGGAAGTTTCCCTAAGGGCTTGTAGAGGGGTTTACCCTGTATAGAGCAGGCTCTACACGGGGTTCTAGACCGGGTCGCTTGAGTTCGAGAAGCGTTTAAAGGGGTCTAGGGCCATATTTTGAAGGTGTTTCGGTTCAGCACTGCAGAGTTTAGGGCGGGGCTTTCCGGGTTTGGACGCTTAGGTTTCAAGCCTCGTGTTTAGAGCTTACCTATTCATACTCTGTGAAGGATCTCCAGTGAACGACCTCCACGTTAAACAGAGACCAAAGAGCAAAAGCTTAGCAGGAAAACTCTAAAGACTCTAATCTCCCTTACACCCTACATACTCCATCCTACGAAAGCCTATACAGCCCGAAACCCGATTTCTCGGTCCAAAACGTTTTCCTACTATAGAGACCTTAATAGCCAGAACAGGAGTGTGCCAGTATACGACTATACTAGGCTGCTTTCAGCGCTCTTTTTCGGCAACGGCCTGGCATACTGTCGCTCGAGTTGGGCACGCTCGCGCATGCAGGCCACGAAGCCCTGGTCCGGTACTGGGATCTAGATGCATCCATGCATGCATGCACACATACACACAGTCATGCGCGCACATATATATATATATACATACAAGCATCGTAAGCACACATCTGCACATGCCTGCATGCGCATAAAATACAGTCAACCAACCCGCCAGCAAGCCAGCTGGCCTGCGAACCACAGCCAACCAGCTAGGCAGTCAGCCCACCACCCAACCATCCATCCAACCAAACATCCATCCATGTACGTGCTTGTGGTTTCATATGTATAGACAAATGAAGCAAAAAAACAACAAATGCACACATCTATGCGTGCAGATAGGTTTGTTTGCAAAGGTTCATACATAATCATGTAGCTAGAGAAACACTATATAGATACACAAAGAGGTAAATATAGATAGGTAGATACATCGCACGAGAGAGAGAGAGAGAGGGAGAGAGAGAGAGAGAGAGCACGAGAAAGAAACAGACAGACACAGACAAACACTCAGGTAAGTAGATAGGCAAATACGTAGATATAGGTCGAGAGATGGAGAGATAGCAAGATACACAACATACATACATACTTTTGTTCTATAAAGAGATGTGTATATATATATGTGTAGATACAGACATAGATATATTATATAGATATGTAGAAACATAGATAGACAGGTAGATAGACAGACAGACAGACAGACAGACAGACAGACAGACGGATCGATCTATTTACACAATGTATACACAAGTCCATTTGGGCTTAGTATCCGGGCTCGGAGATTAGAGTCCAGGGTTCAAGGCCTCGTTTGGGCAAGCATTAACACTGGCCTCAGGGTGTCCAGACAGATCGACCGCTGTGCACACTGTATTATGCACAAGTCCTTTTCAGGTTTAGTATTGTTGTGCACAAATTAGAGTCCAGGGTTCAAGGGCTTGTGTGGACAAGCTTTACACAAGGTTGCCCTGAACCGCACGATCGATTTCATCAAAAAACCATACTAGCCGGCAACGCATGGTTTGGGTTTGAGCTCGAAGTCTTCAGGGCTTTGGGGTGTAGGGCTGTGGTTTTTCGGGTTTCTGGTTTAGGATGCAACATCCTCGAATCACGAAGCACCTGCTACCCAGGAATAGTCTGATACGCACCAATCGTGGCGGAGTGGGTGTAGCAATGAATGATAGGCTCCGTGCTAGACAACATACCTCGACTTCAGGTTTGAGGCTGTTTGATTATTCGCCCCTCGTTTCTCCGCCTGGGCTGAGGCTTTAGGGTTCGTGATTTAGGGCTTTGGGGGACACACATTTTCTGAACCCCAAAAGCCGAAAGCCCCCACTCCCGAAGCTCTCAGCCAGGCCCGAGCAAAACCTCTTCAAAAGCCCTGACCTTGCATTGCCTGAACCCCTGAAGTCCGAACGGATGGCAGGGTTTAGGGTTTGGGGATCCCAAAACTTCGAACACCTTCCTAGGACGAAGGTCATTAAGATAAACCTTACATACATAGACATAGAGCTGAGGATTTCTGTCTTATTGAAACCCTGAAACCCTCAACCACGACCACCGAAACGACCATGACCAGGATCACCACGACGACCGCCTCGACAAAGACGATCACGACCATCGGGACGACCACCAGGAGACCACGAGGAGGCCAGCAGGAACCGAGACCACCAGGACAAAAAACATCTGACCACCAGCAACGGATCGGGAGCGCACCGTGCAAACAAGGCCAACTTGATTGCCCCCAATACTGGGGTTCAGCGGCATGACTTGCGTACTTCCCCCACTGTACTTGCGGGGTTCGAAAATTTCGAAGCCAACATAAGGCCAATGATTTCAACAATGAGCTGCACTCTCCGGAGGATGCATCTGCACAGCGAGTCTGTAAATAACGGAGCATGAGCGCATATCCCCCGATTGTTGGGCTACCTATACATAATCCGTGCTCAAGTACACCGAATAAGACTCTGCAGAACCTTCAAGCAACCCTTTCTGAAACCCTTGTAGACAAAAAAACATTGTAAAGGCCCAGCCTCCAACATCTTTCGGCTCGGGGCCACACGCCGGGCCCACAAGAGCTCGAATCGATCCCAAAGATGCTCCTGCACCCATTTGCGTTGTTCGTTCGTTTGCTCGTCTGCTTCCTTCGTTCTTTGTTCGATCGTTTGTCTGTCTGTGCTTGCTATGTGCTGGTGCTGGCGGTGGCGGTGGTGTGTTGGTTCGCTCTGCACCGCTGTCTTGGTAGTGTCTTTTCCTCTCGATTGCATGCTTCTGTTTGTATTCTTGGTTGTCCTTTGTCTCCCGTGCGTTGCTTTCGGCTGGTCTGGTTGGTTTCACCCTTTCCATTTTGAGGAGCACGGGGTGTAGGGTCACGGCAGGGATTTCGGGCTTATGTCTTTAGCAGGCTCCGGGCCAAGGTGTTGCCGGGAACTTCTTACTCGCTCATAACTTATCTATTCCACAGACCTCTGAGCTGGAACCCACTGCAGTGAAAAGAAGGACCTCCCGTAAGAGGCAGGGCTTTTCGACTAGTACATGTAGTTGCCCCAAGCGCAAACCAAGACTCCCAAAACCTATGCTCACCAATATTCCGCAAGAGGCCCTGCAGACACTTTCCAAAGTTCCATCTTTACACCTGCCACATACTAGTATGATCACTGTGGAGCTCTTGACGGCAAGTCTTATAGGGCTGGCGGTCTGCAGGAGATTCTGGATATCACGGTCTAGATGCTCTTCTTACTGGTGACGGTCTTGATGCTCCTATGAAAGGTGCGAAGAAGATGTCGTTGCTGGCTGTTGTTGATACTGATGTCGACGATGATGGTCGTTGATGGCGCATCCCAGTAATGGTGACGATATGCGGACGGTGTGATGAGGACGAGATTGGCTTGTGCAGGACGACTGCTTCGACGAGCGCAGCGGCGACGACCCAGCTGAGACCCTGGCACGAAATGACAGTGGTCCCTGCACCTTTTGCAATGTTAGAGCTTTCCGGCTTGAGGCTGGGACTTGGGATTCAGATTGACGGCCTTGGGCATCGGGATGTGGACTACTTGAGCTTCGTTTCCCCGACTTCGAGGCCCGATGATCTCGTCTCGTCGTTATGCCTTACAGCACAGGGCAAGCTAAATCATAAACCCCACAGCAACCAAGAAAGGCACTAGATCTGCAAGCCGGACAGGGATCAATGTTATGGACCCGTTTTTGCTCTCGACCATCACCGTCTTGTTTTTATTGAAGCGAGTCTTGCAGCAGCTTCTTGCGATTCACAACCTGACAATATTGTTAGTTGCGATGTGTTGTCATACCAGTGTATCGACCATGGAAGTTGTTCGTAGTGGTGGTGGTGGTGCTGCTGCTGCTGCTACCACCACCGCCACGACCCACCACGGCCGCCGCCATCCGGCTCCTAGCTTCCTTTGACCTATCCAAACAAGAGCTCCGATGATTCTGATGGGTACGGCGTTGCTGGTGAGGGTGCTGTTCGTCGTAAGGTTTAGTATCAATCAAGTCATGATTTAAGAGTACCACCTACCGGCGAGGTCTGTGATGTCACAGTCGGAGACTCGTTGGATGCAACGTCGACACCGTCACGAAACTCGAGCAGGACAAGAACACAGCTGCAGTGCTGGTTCTCGATGAACGGCACCCATACCCCTAATAAAAAAACACAGCTGCCTCGTCATCCACATCTGGCAAGCCAGCCGTGGGAACCTGCTTGGCGCCCCTCCCTTGATAAGGATGTTCAGGCTTCTACGTTTTTAAGCCCTTCATTCGGGGGCTTGCAGGAAGGGGCCGGGCTTGCCACCTGAAAATTAAACACATGTTCAAGCATTCAGGGGTTCCGATGTCTAGGATTTGACAGGTCTTGGGGTGTACAAAGAAACCACTGCTAAATATACACAGCGCCCTGCACGGCCCGAACCAAATGCAAAAGCGAAGATAAGGCCGTGTGGGTAGTCCTCGAGAATCACACAGAAACAGGCAAGGGCGGTGCCTCCATTTCAGACATAGCTAACGGCTTCCAGTTAAGGGCTGACGGCTTGAGGGGTCTAAACAGCTTCTCGGAAAACCGTGGCGCAGTGGGGGCAATATGTCGAACAACTTCCCGCACACAGTAAGCCCTCTATGGACCAGCACCACAAGCTTGAAAAGTAAGCTGCAAAGAGCAGGCCTCATCGTGTGTTGCAGGCGGGAGATGCACCACCGGCAGGCTTCCTGAGATTCAGTGCGGCCCTTTTCCTACTGAATCCAGGGTTCCCACTGTGTCTAGGGCGTAGGGGACGTGTGCAGATTAAAGTTTAGGTGCGGTTTATGGTTTGATGGGTGCAGTATGCTGTATAGGGCATAGGGTATGGGACCAAACATGGTCAGGGGGTTGATAATCACTGAGCCAGCAGGTTCGCCATTGGCCGCGGATAGGCCCTCTCGTAACTTCAGGGTGACGTTAAGCTTTAGGGTTTCAAATCTTCGGGTTGGGATTTAGCATTGTTTACCGACTTAGGGTCTCAACGGAGTTTGGGACTCAAGTTGTAGATTATGGGGATTTAGATGTGAGGTTTCGGGTTCAGGGCTTTGGGTGCAGAGGCTTCCACAAAAAGTGCCAAAGTGCCCATGCTGAAATTTAACAAGAGCCCAGATCTCTATGCAGTACTCCCTGAACATGATGAAGGCCTCGGTGTCGACAGTGATACCCTGCTTCTTGCAACCCGAATGGAGCCCTTGTGCAACGCACTTGGCCTTTAAGGAGGTGTGCAACCGAGACGAATCCGGAAACCTACCGAAGCCCAAAAACACCCTGGAAGAAGCCCTAGAGGCCCCTAACCAAACACACCCCTGAACCCTAACCCCATCTCATCCAAACAAACATCAGAATTTCGGGGCCTCCAGCGTCCTCCGACAGCGAATTGAGCTCCAACATGGCTGCTTCGGAGGGAGGGGGGAGGGGACGTGGCGGAGGGCTAAGGAGTTGAATGCGATCTCGGTGCTTTTGGATAGGGATCTGGTGCTGGTGTTGTGGTTGGTGGGTTTGGGATTTAGGGCAATTTCCCGTATGGCTGGGCTGCGTAAGGCTGTGGGACTTTAGGATCGTCTGGGAGGACAGTAGCACCATCTCAATTCAGGCTATGCCTTGCTTCATGAAAACCTACCGAAAAATCCGACATGCCAAAGTCCCCCAGCCTTTAACTTCGGGCTTCGCATGTCGAAGTCTTCCTGAAGATCGCTGCAGAAACGCCGACACACCAAAACGCTAAATCCTAAACCGGCTTCTGCATGTGGCTTCATGAGAGTCTTTGCAGTAATCATCAGACCCCAGCTTAAGCACGGAAAGAGCATCGGAGGCATGTCAGGCTTTGGGTAACCTCTAGAGCTCCAGTTACTTACATAGTAGGTTACTAACCATAAAATATAGAAGCCATTATTTGTCGGTAACTGGAGCCCCAGGGTAACTTCGGAGCCCTAGCAATTAAAGCAGGGTTTGGGGCAACACAAAAATTGTAGAAGAAAACGTATATGAGGGAACCCTGAGGAGCATCATCATGTTCAATTAACTACTCATTCCCCGATATTACAGGCGTCTGTGACGGACGAGTCTCGGACGACTTTGGGCAAGGATTGTGCCTTGGGGCTTTAGGGCTTTGTGGCATGGATGGATAGGGCCTAATTATACGGCGTGCGGCCAAATAGAACCTAAAGGTCCTACGCAGTTAATTAGAGCTTGAGGGTCACCTGGGACTTCACCTTAGCCAGCTCGGCTTTTAGCTTCGCCAGCTCCTCATCAACCTAGTCTTTGGGGACCACGAGCTTGGGCATCAGAGGGGAAGCTTCGCTTCAGGCACTGTTATACTGAGCCGTCTCAATTGAGCCTCAAGCAACAGCTGCTTGGGTGATCAACGGGTCTCCGAATCGCTGCTGGGATGGGAAACCAGCTTCCTGAACACATCTAGTCTGGTTTGTGTCTTTCCTTTGCAATATACTGTTGCCTTCGGAGTAGTAGACTGTGCAACTATCCCTTGCTGTGTTGCCTATGTTCCCCTCCGACTCCGGTCGCGAGCTTATCGAGTTTCTTGCAACTCACACCCACACACAGACACACACCCACAAACAGACACACACACACACAAACACACAAATACATACATACATACATACATACATACATACATACATACATACATACATACATACATACATACATACATACACACACATACACCCACACATGGACACACACACACAAACACACACGCACAGAGAGACACACACACACACGACTGCCCGTGTGCATTCACATCTCATGAAACAGCCTTGGGACCACCCGTAGGAGGGCAGCCGGGTTCAATGAGTTCCACCTATTTATGTCAGCACACCTCCATAAGGCAGCAGGCCAACAGCCAAAGGGCTTCACTTGGGGCTCACATCTAGGGGCCTTAATAACTAGAATAGGGCTGTGGGGCATACTATCGTATGTTTGCATAGTTAAGACACTGTAAGGAATAGTGCTGGCAATTATCCAGGCTTCTATGTTAGGGGGGCGGCTCATGGGTCTGTTTCTGGGAAGCGCAGTGTAGCCGACACTGCTTCAGTGACAGCATAAATCCGGTAGCTTCGCCACATAGCAAGGGCCAATGCCATAAGAGCAACTTCATCACAAGGAGCTCTCCCAATAACACACTCTGAGAGAGCTTGGCCTGCGCTGGTATACAGTTGGAAAGGACTCTTTCCATACCCACATCTGAATCTAAAGCAGTCTCCCTTTCTTTTTACAGCAGGCAATCGTGCGTAACTCTTCTCTGAAGAGAGATCCATGCGGTACCTTGTACAGCGGTTTAGTTTAGGTTTAGGACTAGGGTCGAGCGATCAGGGATTTAGGCTTTAGGGTGTATATATGAGGCTTAGTATTTTTAGGGCTTACGACAGGTACAAAGGCTGAAGAAACAATATAACCCTTCTCTCTATCATGAACTACATGTCTTATATTCTGTGCAAGAACCCTGTTGAAACTATGTAGGCCGTGAGATTTCGAACCCGGGGGCCATCTTTGTTTGGAGAAAGCCTTGCCAACGAGAAGGGCCCCATTTAGATGCCCCCTAGGACTGAAAATTTCTGTGCTCTGGACTCCGGAGAACATGACAATTGTCCCAAAGCTTTCATCCTCCCCAGAAGTACATTAGAAACTACAGGAGCACCCGCAAATACCAGGGTCAGAGTCCTGAACTTTCTTTCAGGGCCTAGACTGCTTCAAGCCCTCAAAACGTTGCAATCCTTGCCCCTTGCCCTAAACCCATACAGAGTTTCAGAAGATAGGGGACGCTGCCGTATTGTAGAGCCCGAAACGCAAGGCTTAGGATAGTTTGTTCGGTAACCCCCGCCCCACCCAAATAAGCCACCCTAGTTTTTTGAAACTCCCACGGCTAGTGGTACCAACAACATGGCTGTGCTGGTTGGAGCGTAGGGTCTAGTAGTCGCCTCAATAATTGTCAAGACTTGTCTTGAGGGGCTCCTAAAACATCCGCAATGCAAGATAACCCCAAAACCAGAATGTCATCCTCATGCCAAGCGGTCTTCTCTATTTGCTCGCAATCCAAGGCCCTCCGACATGGTCATTGGTAGCAGTGTAGTTATTCAGGGGATGAATGCCTGCTGTCACTGTTAAGAGTTATTCTCACGACCACCAGGTCTAGAAAGTTTAGCTTGTGGAAATGTGCAGCCGTTATCCCCAATTCTCTGAAACCCCTATACCCCAGACCTGAGAAGGATTGCTACCTTGATTCCAAAGCGCTTCAGTCTGCAAAGCGCTCAACAGCTTGCTGTTCTGGATTTCGGGATCGGGGCTTAGGGGTCAGGGTTGATGACAGGGTTCAGGGCTTTCGGCTTCGACTGAAGTTAGGCGTTCAATCAGGGTTTGAGGGTCTATAGGAAAAGCTTTGAGGGCATGATGACTTTGATGTCCACGTAGAAGCCCAAATCCCACGGACTGCATAACACATTCCGCAAAATTCTGCAATTTCTGAGCCCGAAGCCCTGCAGACCTCGAACGACCTGAACCAGAAAGTGTTAGGTTCAGGGTTCAGAAATTTTCGGGTGGGATTGAGATTCTTATCTTGGGCTCCGTGCAGCCTTAGCACTTAACCCTACGGTGCCTAACTCTGAAACTCGGAACTCCCTAAACCTTGAAACCCTGAAACCCTACACCCTGAAGCCACTAAACCTCTGAACTTTAAACGAGGCTGCTCCAGGCCCGGCGGGCAAGCATAGCCAGGTGGCACCTTTTTCACAAAGACATCTGAGGCTAATCTAAGGGCACTAAGAACCCTGCTTGAGAAATCAGGGGATTTGGTATGAAGTTTCGACACTAGCACCACTGGGAGTAGGCTGCTTTGGGTGCTTAGTCGGGGAACAGTGTTCAAGGAAACAGAGCTCAACTCCTGGAGGCCTCCTGAGCCTGCAGCGACGCATACACACATACCCACAATACATACGTACATTCGTACATCTTGCCCGCTTGCTTGCCGGTTGCTTGGATGGTTGGTTGGTTGCTTGGCTGGCTGGCTGGCTGGCTGGGTGGTTAGGTGGTCGGGTGGTTAGGTGGTTGGTTGGATGGTTGGTTGGTTGGTTGGTCCGATTATGGATAAACGTTCAAATGCATACATACATGCATCCATCCATGCACACATATGTACACATGTCATACCATGTACCTACCTACCTACCTACCTACCTACCTACCTACCTACCTACCTACCTACCTACCTACCTACCTACCACCGACCTACCGACCTACCGACCTACCGACCTACCGACCTACCTACCTACCTACTTACCTGCCTACCTACCTACCTACCTACCTACCTACCTAACTACCTACCTACCTACCTACCT